GGACGTTTTGCAATCTTTCTCGATTTTGACTCTAATTGACTATCTTTAGCCAATGTATCCGTTGGGTCTGTTGATCGAGCCTCAAAGAAAGACATTTCAACCCTCAGCGAGTGCGTTTGCGGCTTCATTCAGGAATAAATGAGAAAAAACAGTGTGCGATTCTTCCCCGTCGAAACGGGGAAAAATCGAACACCTAAGGGGAAAAATCGGACATAGGCTTTAATTTAACAAAAAGCTATGAAAGTAGGTCAGAAATCTCTTGGGAACGATATTTGGGGGTAACACTTGCGATACCCACTGAAGCAGGCGCACGAGTATTCCTAGGTAGACAGAAATCATCGCAGCATTGTTGGGGGGTCCGTGGCGGCACGTTTTTTAGGTCAAATGACCAAAATGTATCAAATCGTCAACAGCCGTGTTTGTTTTCCCACTAAATGTTGGGAAATGCTAAAATACACTTGTTACGACCACTTTGGTGGGATGTTAGGGCAATTCATCGATTATTATAGAAAAAAGAGGTGTTCGATTTTTCCCCGCACCAGTGTACGGTTTTTCCCCGTTTCGTATTTAACCCTTCATATGTAATCCAGCTGGAAATCTGCTAAAACATTTGAACGTATCTTGGGCTCCACACTTCCAACTTTCGTTTACAATAAGAATATTCGTCACAGTAGGCTCGGAAAGTCGTTCAAAAGAGATATTGCGGGCACCAACTTTGAAAGTTTTTAAGGTGTTTTAAACGAGACCTCGTTTAAAGGTGACTTTGAATACTTTCCGGTTCAAGTAGGCTAAATTCCTCTTAAACGCAATCTAGCAGATCATCAATAAGCAATACTGAATACTTTGCACGTCCCAAAACAGGTAAATTTGTGGCGAAAGTGCGGTGTGCGTTTCTTCCCCAACTTGCAGGTGTCCGGTTTTTCCCCGCCCTGACCCTATGGGATAGATGAGTGGTCTGCTAGTTTTTCTTCGCTTTGGCAGAGGCACAGTGGAAAGGGTGGGATCTTCAGAAGCTTCTGTGTTTGAATCTTTCCGTTTGGTTCTCAGTCCTTGCAGTGAGTGCAGTTTGTTCTGGTTACGAAGGAACTGATCCACTAGTAGTAAGGGTACCCCTAGGTCACCCGGCGCCATATTGGCCCCCCCAGGTAACCTGTCCTGACCTAACCTTCGGAAGGGTAAAAAAATAGGTCATTTTAGGAAAAAAAAAATTTTTGTCATTTTTTGGAATTTTTTTTGGGAGGTGAAGATGAGGGCTCTAACCCAACCTAACCTAAGCTAGGGGGTAGGTCTAACCTACCCTTCAACCCCCCGGAGGGCGTCCGGGGCGATCTGGACTGTGAGGTGCGCTTGACGGAGGAGGCGGAGCGCCTGCGAGGTAGGCCGGTGTCTCCGGGTTGTTGTACCCCCCGGCTGGCCTGTACCCCCGGTACACCATACCCAAGGCATCGTGTACCGGGGTTACACCAAACCTAGGTATGGTGTAGGGGGGGGTACACCATTCCTAGGCATGGTGTACCCCCCACCCTCGAGGACAGGGGGTACACCAACCAGTCCTTAGGAATGGTGTACCGGGGGGTACACCATTCCTTAGGCATGGTGTACCCCCTCCCTTGAGGACAGGGGGTACACCAGTCCTTAGGAATGGTGTACCGGGGGGTACACCATTCATTCCTTAGGCATGGTGTACCCCCTCCCTTGAGGACAGGGGGTACACCAGTCCTTAGGAATGGTGTACCGGGGGGTACACCATTCCTAAGGCATGGTGTACCCCCCATGGTGTACCCCCGGTACACCATTCCTTAGGTATGGTGTACCCCCTCCCTTGAGGACACACGGTCAATTTGATGTCTGGCAATTTCCAGATATTTTTTTTGCATTTCCAGGTATTATCTGGAAATGCCGTTATTTTTTTCAGATTTTGTCTGGAAATGTCTACCTTTTCCAGAGAGTATCTGGAAAATGTTAAATCCCAGATAAATATCTGGAAATCAAAAGGCATTTCCAGATAATATCTGGAAATAATTTTTTCCAAAAAATGTCTGGAAATAAAGGCCTTGACGCCGAGTGGGGTACACCATTCCTTAGGTATGGTGTACCGGGGGGGTACACCGTTCCTTAGGTATGGTGTACCGGGGGGTACACTATTCCTTAGGCATGGTGTACCCCCTGTCCTCGAGGGTGGGGGTACACCATGCCTAAGGAATAGTGTACCCCCGGTACACCATGCCTAAGGACTGGTGTACCCCCTGTCCTCAAGGGAGGGGGTACACCAGTCCTTAGGCATGGTGTACCGGGGGGTACACTATTCCTTAGGCATGGTGTACCCCCGGTACACCATTCCTAGGACTGGTGTACCCCCTGGCCTCGAGGGTGGGGGGTACATCATTCCTAGGAATGGTGTACCGGGGGGTACACCATGCCTAGGTTTGGTGTACCGGGGGTACACATCCGAGGGGGGTACACCATACCCGTTACAGGCCCGCCGCGCTCCGTGCCACGCGCCGCCGGGCGCCTGGGAGGCAGGCCACCCACTGCGCTCTGTCCCCTGGTCACCCATCGGGCCTGCTTGCTGTCTCCCGAAGCGCCTAATCAGACGGATATCATTGGCTTAATTTTTTAGGGAGTTTGTCTTTTTATGATTTTTTTGTGTTTTCAGTTTTTTTTTTTACAGTGCATCCTTAATTAGGTGAGTTGAGGTACACCTGCATCCACAAACCCACTCGCTCTGCATTCCGCGCAGCACATGTTTTGGAACTGTGAGAGCCTATGGTATCATTATGGCAAGGTGCCCAGGCCTTGGGTAATTTTTTGAGGCTTGGACAACCGAACTTCTCTACATCAAAGATTTTCGTTGAGGGTAAGAGGAATTGAAGAATTCTCTTCTTCTCATCCGCCTTCACGTAGAGGAAGTCATACTGTGCCGACATCTCGCTCAGAGTCTGAGGGAGCCTGTCATAGGGCGAGAAGCCAGTTTCCCAGGGAAGGGAATGCAAGCGCCTCACGATGTACTTGTTTCGGCGCAGTTGCTTCTCTGGGATCACATCTCCTGGGTAGGGTGGAGCGAAGGTGGCCGATTTGTGGATCTGGGCCGCTTCGTTTTGTTCATAGAACGAAACCTCCCTGAGAACATACTCCCCGTACTTGCCCCGGAGCATCTGAATGTCGCAGATAGCGTAAGGGGCATTCCAGAGCCGATTGACAGTGGTCGAAGTTGACCATTGACGATTTCGCTCATTTTTGGCTCAAATGTTACCTACCCATAGGTAAACACCCCCACAAAATTTCAGCCCTCTAGGTCAATTGGTATAGGAACTGTGAGCAATCAAAGTTTTGAGCTTTTTTTCTTTAGTCGTTTTTGACCAAATTGCACTATTTTACTAAAATGCTCCGAAATTCTTTTCTTTTGGGTCCAGAGGTATGAAAATTGGTACCCTTATGTAAAATTGAGTGGCAAATCCGAATCTGCACGCAGAATTGACCCCAGAGCAGTCCATCCTTGATAAAAATGCACTCTAAGTCAAAAAATAACTTTTTTAGTGTTTTACAACCTTCAATTTTTTTTCTATCCCGGAATCCAAACTGGACCCGTTCTTGGCGGTAAATAATTCCTCAGATGACTACCTAAAAACAAGCGGCTCGATATACCGAGGGTATGGGTATGGGTTAGGCGCTACAGCACTCGGAAAAATTACAATTGCGAAAAACACTCAAAAACGCTCAATTTAGTCGAACAACGTGTCCCTCCTCGTAGCTGTGGGTGTTAATGTGTCAGACTAAGACCCCGAGGCCAATTTGAGGAAAATGGCATCTCATTATCAAGGTGTGCCCTATCTGTAACGCGTAGAACAGATATTTTTGTTTCAGAAGGCGCCTGCAGGGTACGCAATTCGCACACACCTCTGCACGGTTTTGCCTACCGGCCAGGGGCCTTGTGCGGCCAGGCTGTTGCTACTGCGTGAGTCCCTCAATGTAAAGCCAATCCTTTTGGTAAGATGTAATGGTTTCAATTAATTAAGGGTCAGTATAGGTTTACCTCAGAAATATGCAATCAAGTTATTTATCATCATATTATTTTTAGGGGTAAATACAAAGGTCGAAAAACAGGTGCAAAAAGTATAATACAAAGATTGAAGATTCTAAATGCAATCACTTTTTCAGGAGCAATTTTCTCTTGTACGTTCCCTTGTCCTTAATTCCTTTCACAACAGAAATATGTAGCTCATATTTAAGATCAAACCTCTCAGTTAAATCAACATTACATATTATGTGGTTTGTTGGGACTATATGACTCAACAAGTTCTCTGACCATGAATATGTAGTTGCTGGCAGAGGAGGATGTAACAAGCTCAACTCAACTTCACCATCACCATCATTCACATCAGATACTAAACCTATGTAAATCTTGGTCTCCACCAGAACAGCAACGTAGGAGCCTACTTCAACCTGAATATCATCGACTGGTTGGGTGAGGCTATGAACCAATGCATTTTCTGTATCATAACTAATTCTTTTGCACTCAATTGTAGAATCAGTGCCTGCAAGAAAATAGGACATATTCAGTTTAGAAACCCGTACCAATAATTTCAAAAGATAGGAAACAATTTTCACATACCGGTTTCTGGTTTGAAATGGTGGATCAAGAACGAAAGTTTGGGGCTTGAAGGCGATCAGATACCGCCCTTATCCAACGGAGGCCGTTGTTTATAACCTTAAACCTTCTGGCGTTTCAACTTTACAGTGTCGTGTCGCTCGGTAGCATAGGAAGGTTGGCTAAAGGACTAGTACAGTTTGCTGGGAAACGCTGTGTCCTGTGTTGCGGAGAGGTATGTACACTAGTGGAGTCCGAAAAACCAGATGGCAGCGGATCGAATAGACATCCCTGGTGTACGGCGCTGCAGACGGTAAGGTACGCGACTCGGATGAGCCGAGGTGGCGGCGGACCGAGTGGCCACTCCTGGTGTACGGAGCTGCAGCCTGAAAGGTACGTGACTCGGATGATCCGAGGTGCTCGGATAGTCCGAGGTGGCGGCAGACCGAGTAGGCACTCTTGGTGTGCGGAGCTGCAGCCTGAAAGGTACGTGACTCGGATGATCCGAGGTGCTCGGATAGTCCGAGGTGGCGGCAGACCGAGTAGGCACTCTTGGTGTGCGGAGCTGCAGCCTGAAAGGTACGTGACTCGGATGATCCGAGGTGCTCGGATAGTCCGAGGTGGCGGCAGACCGAGTAGGCACTCTTGGTGTGCGGAGCTGCAGCCTGAAAGGTACGTGACTCGGATGAACCGAGGTGCTCGGATAGTCCGAGGTGGCGGCAGACCGAGTGGGCACTCTTGGTGTGCGGAGCTGCAGCCTGAAAGGTACGTGACTCGGATGATCCGAGGTGCTCGGATAGTCCGAGGTGGCGGCAGACCGAGTGGGCACTCTTGGTGTGCGGAGCTGCAGCCTGAAAGGTACGTGACTCGGATGAACCGAGGTGCTCGGATAGTCCGAGGTGGCGGCAGACCGAGTGGGCACTCTTGGTGTGCGGAGCTGCAGCCTGAAAGGTACGTGACTCGGATGAACCGAGGTGCTCGGATAGTCCGAGGTGGCGGCAGACCGAGTGGGCACTCTTGGTGTGCGGAGCTGCAGCCTGAAAGGTACGTGACTCGGATGAACCGAGGTGCTCGGATAGTCCGAGGTGGCGGCAGACCGAGTGGGCACTCTTTGTGTGCGGAGCTGCAGCCTGAAAGGTACGTGACTCGGATGATCCGAGGTGCTCGGATAGTCCGAGGTGGCGGCGGACCGAACTAGCATTCCTGGTGTACGGCGGTACAGGCGGAGAGGTGTTGTTGTCGATAAGCGAATACTTCATAGGACAACGGGGAGAGAGTATAAGTGGTTGTCTCTCACGCCTTGGGTGCGTAGTTGTCGGAGCACACAGGGGCTATGAAGTGGTCGCTTGTCGAAAAACTCTATTGTAACAGAAAGGTTAATACCTTAATTTTTTCTGTGTGTGCAGAGTAGGTGTGTCAACGCGAACAAATCGGAATAAGAGATGGCATCCCTTCCGGACTTAGAGAGTCTTCTCGACAATGCGACGGTATGTAGAATGGATGCATTTTACAACAGTTCTATGTTGGTTGTTTTCTGTTCACTAACTGGATCGATTTCTATATAGGATGTGTCCGCTGAGGAAGCTTTAAAGTCAGAATTAGAAAAATGGTTGCATGCAGAAGAACAACTGGCGAATGCGACCAATATACTCACGTTTGAGTCGAATGAATCTGAATCCTCTCAGACTCCTCAAATGGATGTCTCACTTCCTGGCACCTCAAGGGGAAAGAGAAGAGGACACGATTGGAGTACGGTGGACTGTACACCGCCAAAGGTTGCCAGGCGCAATGAAGTATTGACAAGAAAAATTCCTGATGATAAGACAAGAAAAATGATGGATGATATCAAGGAGAGGAGCAAATTCAGAAAATCAGAAAAAGATTCAAAAACTGCTGATCAGAAGGAAAAAAGGAAGGAAGATGATAAGAGAAGAGAAAGAGCCATGAAGGAAAGAAGAGAGAGACAGCATGAAAAGAAAGACAAGGGAAGTGATGGGAAAAGTCAAAAGTCGCAAGAAGAAAATGACAAGAAGAAAACGAAGGTTAAAACAAGTAACACGAAAAATGAAATGAAGGAATCTCGCAGTGAAAGAGCAATGAAGGAAAGAAAAGACAAGAAATCCAAGAGAAGCGAGAAAAAGAGCGATGATGAGAGAAGTGATTCTGGACGATCGAGTGCCAGCAGTAAGGAGACACTTCTTGACGATGACTATCATTATTTTAAAGTGCCAAACAAGGTGATGCTGCCCGTTTTGGAACGTGAGAGACAAAAGCAAGCCGCCAAGGAACATCGTAATAAGAATAAAGCAGACAAGGCTGCCGCTAATAAAATTGACAAAGCTAATCTGTCAGTTGTACAGTGCAGAAAATTTGGCGTAAGTATACTAATTTATGTGGTAAAGATTGTCTTTCACTATTCATATACTAATTTCCTTGTCTGTTGCAGTTCCGAGTGAGTAATCGGGTTCCCAATGGCAGGGATGCCCGAGGTTTGTGTGTAATTTGTGGTAAAGATTACAACAATCTTGGTAGTCACTTGAAGACTCACTCTATGACTCATGACGTCGAGAAGGCAAAGATCTTCATGGAAGCCCAATTCACGCGATCATGTCGAGGGCCAATCCACCTTCCGACACTGATTGATAAACTGGTTGAAGCCAAAGGCAGCAAGCCGAACATGGAAGGCATTCTGAAGGATGCGTTTAGTCTTGTCGGAGTTGGCACTTCACAGAATGAAAGCAAATGTTTGCCAATGTACGATCTCAAGAAATGCTTCCTCAAAGGCCATGTACGTTAACAACCCAGAAATAATATGAACTATTTGAATTCAAAATCACCATTAATTACTATATACTTTGTGTTTCAGGTGCTGCCACCAGATTCTATAAATGATCAAGACTTGGAAATCCATAAGCTCGACCAAGATGATGATGATAAACATTTATCTTCAAGTGATGAAACGTCCAGCGACTCTGATGAATCTGAAGATAATGACTACCATAACAGTATGACATTTTAATGTTTTGTTTTATGTAACATTTTTTACATTATTTTCCTGTCTATTGATACCTGATTGTAAAAACAATGTAAACTTGTCTTTACTTAGAGGGTGTCTGTATCGTCCGAAGTTGTTTTGTCCGAACCTAATTAACTTAAGTTATCCTAATGAGTTATTAGTTAATTAAATAAGTTATTACAATATCTTATCCTGTCTTTAAGTTATTTATAATAGGGATCCGGAGAGGAAGTCAGAGCATAGACGAGCAATGTCCGGGACCCAATATGAATCCCGTGGTTTTTCTATAGAATAATGTATTGCAATCAACTTGTAAGAGTAGTTATTTCAAATTTCTCTCGCTTGCCGCCAGTACCTCGGCACCAGCCGAAGGATGCGAAGGCCGCCCGGCTAACCTCGGCCCTGGCTTCGGGCAGCCTTCGGATCCTTCGGTTGGTGCCGAGTTACTGGCGGCAAGCGAGAGCAATTTAAAACAAATACTTTGATAAGTTGATTGCAATAAGTTATTCTTGAGAGAAACCACGGGATTCATATTGGGTCCCGGACATAGCTGATGCTATCTATGCTCTGACTTCCTCTCCAGCTCCCCATTTAAATAACTTGTAGACAGGATAAGATATTGTAATAACTTAATTAACTAATAACTTATTACAATAACTACTGAAGTTAATTAGGTTCGGACAAAACAACTTCGGACGATACAAGCCACCTCTTTACTTACCTTATTATACAATTACATTTGTACTCTATACCTTTTTTTTATAAATGTTGATTTGTAAATCATACAACATTGTATGTTTGTTCACTTGAAATAAAAAAAAACAAATTAAAAAAAAAAGAGTTTTCAGACAGAGTCCCGTGATGGGACTGGGAGATTGCAAAAGTCGTACTCGACTTAATACTTGGTTGGCAATCACCGGCACGTGCGTTGGAGGGGCACGGTGCCTTGTCTGTTTCTTGCACCTTGTGTATCTTGAGTCTCATGTTTATGTATCTTTTACAGGTGCAACATTTGACAAGGACATATTAGCCCAGGGATCGTTTTGCAAACGACATGTATATGGCGGTAAGAAAATGTGCGATCTTATTCATTAATGTTTCTCCTTGCATTCGTTATCTCATTTATTATTCAATTCCTGCAGATACGTCCGTCGATATGTTGGTGTTGACTCGTTTGTGTCAAGAACCTTTGCCAACGCGTGATGTTTGTTTGTCGCGTGATGATTGTAGTGGAAAGTTGCGCTTTCCATTCAACGGAAAAGTCTTTGTAATTTCTGGAAGAGCTAGAGCACTACGGGTACATTACAAAACAAGTAACAACATGGAAACTGTTATGCTTACAATCATTCGACACATATAAAATGTTTCGTTCCATCTAAAATGTTACGAGTTTATTTGTTTTGCATATGTGCATGTGTGAAAAAAAGGGTAAAAAATAAAAGATTAAAACTAGAAAAAAGTATATCGTACTTGTTTTTATTTCCCCTCAAACTAATCATAAGTTTTTTTAGAACAATGAAACATAGGAAAGTCTTATTAACCATCATTAAACCAGTTACAATGATAGTAAAATAAAATCTGACACAGAAATGAAGGCGATAACATCAAACTGTACTTGTATCCAGTACAGTAATGCAACCAGTGAGGTATTTCCTTGCTGTCGGTCCGAAGTCCGAAACACAGTATTCATTACTGTGAATGCAGACGGCTGTACACAATTAGATGAACACACCTTAAACTCGGACAATTCGAGCATCTCCTCACCTGCGTCGCGGGGCAGGGTGGTGAAATTTTGAGATTAATCTCATTTTGTGGCAAGCGTCTAGGCGCATAGTCGTATCTCAAATTGTTTTAAGTAAAACAGAATTTGTTGGGATTAAATACTGATAAAGCATTTAAAAAAATCATACATAAAAGTTAAAAGCATTCAAATAGTTTTCGCATATTTAGGAAAATTGAAGTACTTTTAGTTGCTTTTCACTGTGGCAAAAAGCTACGGAAAATTCTGTAAACAGCTTGTGGTAATTCTCCGTAGGCCCCTTATCAATATTCTCCGTAGGCTCTTACAGTATTTTCTGTAGGACCGCACAGTATTCTCCGTAGGACCGCACAGTGATCTCCGTAGGACTATACAGTCTTCGAGGTCCTACGGAGAAGACTGTGCGGATTTACAGAGAATACTGTGCGGCCCTACGGAGAATACTGTAAGAGCCTACGGAGAATATTGATAAGAGGGCTACGGAGAATCCTGGCAAAAAAATTAACAGGATTTTCCGTACCTTTTTGCCACAGTGTTCATAGTAAAGCCACCACTTCACCACACTGCTGTTTGGTTGGCCAGTCGAATTGGCTTTTTTTGGGCGGGGCACACGGTGCTGTATAAAATCACTGCTGCAAAAAAAAAATATATATATATATATATATGGTAAAACTCGCGCTGCTCGCTGGGGGCTCCGCCCCCAGACCCCCGCATGTGTGGAGCGCGTGCCGAAGTATTTAGTAAGTCCGTGGTGACCAAAGGCAAATTTTCTAAGGAAGTAAATGTCCTGTTTCTTTGAAAGCTCTATTTAACCACTTTTGACCATATAATAAGGCTACTTTTACTGCCCAAATATATAGCTTGTATTGCATTAGCTACTGTGGCAGTCAATGGGTGCATACAAGGTCCGGAAAATATTGAAGACTGCTTTGACAAGGATAGAGGTGAAAGGAAAAAACCTTAGGTCTCTACGACCACTCCTTGACCCCAAACATTTCTTTGAGTGAGTGAGTGAGTGAGTCAGTCGGATTGGGGCTATGATTCTTGATGATGGTTGCCCAATTGCCGGTGGCGGGGTCCCGATTACGGCACAGTTTCGGAAATTCTCGACCAGACCTACCGATGGGGCGAATAAAAATTTTTAGTCATTCGGTCCCCTTTTTAAAAGATTGAGTAGGTTTGCTCGGGAACAGTGAGAAATTTTCAACTTTTGAGATTTTTCTCAATTTTCCCAATAAATTTGGAATCGAATGGAAAAACCCGCAGGTCTCTACGACCACTCCTTGACCCCAAACATTTCCATGAGTGAGTGAGTGAGTGAGTCAGTGAGTCAGTCAGTCGGATTGGGGCTATATAGGTTCTTGATTGATGAGTGAGGGAGTCAGTCAGTCGGATTTTGGGGCTTTATAGGTTCTTGATGACAATTGATGATTGATTTTGAGTATGTTGCCGGTGACGGGGACCCAATTGCGGCACAGTTTCAGAAATGTCTCGACTAGACCTACCGGTGGGGCGAATAAAAATTTTTAGTCGGTCGGTCCACTTTTTTTAAGATTGAGTGGATTTTGTTAAATTTAGGCCTATTTAATCGTTTTTGAGGATGTTGCCGGTGACGGGAACCCGATTGCGGCGGGGCGAATAAAAATTTTTAGTCGGTCGGTCCCCTATTTTGAAAATAGGGTAGATTTTGTTGAATTTAGGCCTATTTAATCGTTTTTGAGGATGTTGCCGGTGACGGGGATCCGATAGCGGCACAGTTTCGGAAATGTCTCGACCAGACCTACCGATGGGGCGCATAAAAATTTTTAGTCGGTCGGTCCCCTTTTTTGAAGATTGAGTGGATTTTGTGGAATTTAGGCCTATTTAATCGTTTTTGAAGATGTTGCCGGTGACGGGGACCCGATTGCGGCACAGTTTCGGAAATGTCTCGAGCAGACCTACCGATAGGGCGAATAAAAATTTTCAGTCGGTCGGTCCCCTTTTTTGAAGATTGAGTGGATTTTGTGTAATTTAGGCCTATTTTACCGTTTTGAGGATGTTGCTGGTGACGGGGGCCCGATTGCGGCACAGTTTCGGAAATGTCTCGACCAGACCTACCGATGGGGCGAATAAAAATTTTTAGTCGGTCGGTCCCCTTTTTTGAAGATTGAGTGGATTTTGTTAAATTTAGGCCTATTTAATCGTTTTTGAGGATGTTGCCGGTGACGGGGACCCGATTGCGGCACAGTTTCGGATATGTCTCGACCAGACCTACCGATGGGGCGAATAAAAATTTTCAGTCGGTCGGTCCCCTTTTTTGAAGATTGAGAGGATTTGGTTGAATTTAGGCCTATTTTATCGTTTTGAGGATGTTGCCGGTGACGTGGACCCGATTGCGGCACAGTTTCTGAAATGTCTCGACTAGACCTACCGATGAAGCGAATAAAAATTTTTAGTCGGTCGGTCCCCTTTTTTGAAGATAGAGTGGATTTTGTTAAATTTAGGCCTATTTTATCGTTTTTGAGGATGTTGCCGGTGACGAGGACCCGATTGCGGCACAGTTTCGGAGATGTCTCGACCAGACCTACCGATGGGGCGAATAAAAATTTTCAGTCGGTCGGTCCCCTTTTTTGAAGATTGAGTGGATTTTGTTGAATTTAGGCCTATTTTATCGTTTTGAGGATGTTGCCGGTGACGGGGACCCGATTGCGGCACAGTTTCGGAAATGTCTCGACCAGACCTACCGATGGGGCGAATAAAAATTTTCAGTCGGTCGGTCCCCTTTTTTGAAGATTGAGTGGATTTTGTTGAATTTAGGCCTATTTTATCGTTTTGAGGATGTTGCCGGTGACGTGGACCCGTTTGCGGCACAGTTTCGGAAAAGTCTCGACCAGACCTACCGATGGGGCGAATAAAAATTTTCAGTCGGTCGGTCCCCTTTTTTGAAGATTGAGTGGATTTTGTTGAATTTAGGCCTATTTTATCGTTTTGAGGATGTTGCCGGTGACGTGGACCCGATTGCGGCACAGTTTCTGAAATGTCTCGACCAGACCTACCGATAGGGCGAATAAAAATTTTCAGTCGGTCGGTCCCCTTTTTTGAAGATTGAGAGGATTTGGTTGAATTTAGGCCTATTTTATCGTTTTGAGGATGTTGCCGGTGACGTGGACCCGATTGCGGCACAGTTTCTGGAATGTCTCGACTAGACCTACCGATGGGGCGAATAAAAATTTTTAGTCGGTCGGTCCCCTTTTTTGGAGATAGAGTGGATTTTGTTAAATTTAGGCCTATTTTATCGTTTTTGAGGATGTTGCCGGTGACGAGGACCCGATTGCGGCACAGTTTCGGAGATGTCTCGACCAGACCTACCGATGGGGCGAATAAAAATTTTCAGTCGGTCGGTCCCCTTTTTTGAAGATTGAGTGGATTTTGTTGAATTTAGGCCTATTTTATCGTTTTGAGGATGTTGCCGGTGACGGGGACCCGATTGCGGCACAGTTTCGGAAATGTCTCGACCAGACCTACCGATGGGGCGAATAAAAATTTTCAGTCGGTCGGTCCCCTTTTTTGAAGATTGAGTGGATTTTGTTGAATTTAGGCGTATTTTTATATATTATTATATCGTTTTTAGGATGTTGCCGGTGACGGGGACCAGATTGCGGCACAGTTTTGGAAATGTCTCGACCAGACCTACCGATGGGGCGAATAAAAATTTTTAGTCGGTCGGTCCCCTTTTTTGAAGATTGAGTAGGTTTGCTCGGAAACGGTGAGAAATTTGTTCCCCTTTTTGGCCCGTCCCGTTCATTTTTTTTTTTTTTAAATGACGGAGGGACGGGCATATAGTATGATGCCTGCTGTGCGTCCGTCCGTCCGTTCGTCCGTTCGTCCGTCCGAGGACTTCCCGTGGTCCGATCTTGACCAAATTTGGTATGCAGCCTCCTTGGGTGACCCTTAGAACCGCCCGGTGGCAGCAAATCCGATCCGAGCCCCGGGGGCGCTGCTGCAGGTGCATCATGGTCTACATGGGGTCGAGGAGGATCTCGGCAACGGATGCAGCTAGAAGGGCATGTAGGGGTATTTTTGGAATCGGGGCGACGAGAAAAAACCAATGGTGCCAGTTTCGAGCGAATCGGAGAAGTTCGGACCCGGGTTCAAATCCCAGCGGGGTATTTTTGAACATTCTTTTTATTCGAGTTTTTGCATTGTTTCTGATGTCCTTGAGGGTGCTGATGACGAAAACTACATTTATTTTAACCCCAGACTCAGGTTTAGTTCCCGTCAGGGTCAAACATAGGCGAAATTCGTACGTTTCTTAATGTACGGGACGGGCCAAAGTTGCCGATGAATATCGCTACTTTTCCTGTTATTTGTAGATAAAGTAGGTTTTCTCGGAAACGGTGAGGAATTTTCAACTTTTGGGATTTTTCCCAATTTTCCCATAAAATTTGGAATCGAATGGAAAAAACCGCAAGTCTCTACGACCACTCCTTGACCCCAAACATTTCTATGAGTGAGTGAGTCAGTGAGTGAGTCAGTCAGTCGGATTGGGGCTTTATAGGTTCTTGATTTTTCTAAATTTTATTAACCAATGTGTGCAGAAAACGTACAAGACAATTCTGACACAGAAACTGTGCTGCTCACACCGAATCCTAGTCCAGAACCACGTGTTGAGTTTGAGAATTTAGATCCACACTCCTGGGAATGGGTCGTAAGAGACCGACGAAGGCGGCAATTGCTTGTTCGAAGGGAAATAGCTAAGCAACGACGCATTGCAAAAAGTAAAAAGACGTGTGCAAATTGGGATAGGCGAATGAAAACTATTCGCAAGATGAGATGACCTCGGATTTTTTTTTGTATTTCGAACAGCACACTCGAATGGTTCGAGCATCTATTCGCTAATTTTCCAGAGCAGTGTGGTGAGATTGTGGAAAAATTCCATGTGTGACTAGTAGTTAAGACTTGATCTTAAACTTTTTTTTTATTCAAACGCTTTGATTAAAAAATCATTTTAAGTTTTAAAAGATTTGAGAAATATCAATACTTTGGGATTTGGGGTTGTAATTTTAGAATAAGGGGTAAATGCAAATAGGGGACCTTTGAAATTAAATTAAAACGTATCAGGAAAATACCATTCCTGATTGTATGTCACCTCCTTGCCACACTGCAGTTGGTCTAAATAACAGGTTTCTTTTTGTGATAATTTTGTGGAATGTGGAATGTGGAATGTGGAACGGCCACAAATGGGTCTCTAAAGCATCCTGTACGACTCTCGCAAGACTTATGCATGTGAATCCATCCCCGAGAAACATGGAATTGTTTCATTTGAGGCTCTTGCTCTTAAACCGCCCTGGTATGCGGTCCTTTCAAGACATTCTCACTGTCGACGGAGAGTTTTACGATTCATTTGGCAAGGTGTGCAAAGTTTTAGGCATTAATGATACTTCTAAGGTAGATTACACATCGGCAATGTGTGAGGTTGCAAGTCATGGTGCCTCTCGCCAAGTCAGGGCATTTTTTGCAACGATACTAGCAACTTGCTTCGTTGAAAATGCAGAAGAACTCTGGAAAAAGCATCGTGAAGCAATGAGTGCTGACTTCCGAAGACGTGGTTGTGGAAGAAGAGAAGCACTCATTCGAGCGAGAAGAGAAATTTTGCATCTAGTCAGTCAAATGACGGGCGATGTATCTGACACAGTCATGGTCCCTGATGTTAACAGTCGATTTTCGAATCCTGTTAGAATGAACTTTGATCTCGATGTACCTATGGAAATTTTACTTAATGGTATAGAGATTTTTGAGGACGTTTTGGAGGGACCCCCAAATGACGACGAGTTTTTAGATGAACTTGAGACTGAATTCAATGACGAAAATCAACATGAGTCGAATCACCAAGTTGATGCTCTTTTTTCCCATGTAAACAGCTACACAGAAGAGCAGCGGTCAGTACATCATGAAGTTATGCAGGCGGTCCGTTCTAATCGAAATGATATACCACAGTTCTTCTCATTAGTGGCTCCTGGAGGTTGCGGAAAAACTTACGTTTATCTTGGACTTCTGATGGACTGCAAAACAAATCACATCCCTGTTGTCAGTTGTGCCATGACTGCTATTGCTGCAGGCTTGTTAGAAGACGCCGATACCTGTCATAAAACCTTCGGCATCCCCATCAGAGCAAAAACTGACTGTTCCCAAAGGTCTTTCATACAATGTGACTCTGCCGATGGCATCCGACTGAGGGATGCCAAGCTCATAGTCATTGATGAGGTGTCAATGATGGCCAAATGGCAGGTCGTTCTCATCGATTTTTTGCTAAGAGTGAGTCTTTGAAAATCTTTTTAAAATTTGGGTCCAATGTTTTGTCTCTTATGACATTTGATAACTTTTGTCTTTTCTCTTTGTTTACAGGATATTATGGACAATGATGTGGTCCCATTCGGTGGAAAGGTGGTTTTGTTAGGTGGTGACATGGGGCAAATTCTTCCTGTGTTAAGAAATGCCTCCTCTTTCGATCTAATTGAAAACTCCCTTCCATCTTGGTCACACTGGCAAGAAAGACGCGAACTTAAACTGACTCACAACATGCGAGCAGCTGAAGACCCAGTATACGCTGACTGGATCCTGAAAGTGCGAGATGGAAGTGAAAACGTCGCAGGGTCTGACTTCATCAGAATACCAGAAAGTATGCTCGTCATGGCAAATGACAAAGGTGATAATGAAGACCATAGATTGTGTGGCGTGCAAACACGGCTTGAGTTTAACCTTGCCAAAAAACTCGCCCAAGAGGTAAGTCTTATTTATAGACGTTAAGTTTTATGTAACTCATTATCCACTGAATCGTTACTAACATATTTTTTTTTCTCTTACAGATATATGGTGAAACGGTAAATCAACATTTGTCTGATGGGATAATAGTTGCACCAACAAATGATGTCTGTGATGATAACGTCTGTCAGCAAATGTTGTCAAGGGAAATTCCATCCAGAGATTATCTAGGCACAACTTCTATTATTCATCAGGACGTGGGGCAGCGTTCTGAAGAGAATCCTGCAGAATTCATTATGGCACCCGAAGAACTGAACATGATTAATGCTCCGAACCTTCCTCCACATCATTTGTCGTTAAGGGTTGGATCAATAGTAATGTTGCTCATCAACCTTAACAAGAGACTTGGCTTATGCAATGGCACCAGATTTGTCGTGACGAAGCTTTTCCCCAACACAATAGGGGTCAAACGGCTAAGGGCATTCAAAGGAAAAATGGATGAAATTTTTTTGCCTCGAATGATGATGCGTAGTGACGACATCCCTATTGCAGGCTCTGTGCAACGGTTTCAACTTCCCATCACTCTGGCTTTCTGCGTCACCATCAACAAGAGCCAGGGCCAGACTTTTGACCACGTTGGCATCTTCCTTAGAAAACCTGTCTTCAGTCATGGGCAGTTTTATGTGGCGGTCGGTAGAGCCAAGGCACAAAAAAATGTTCGGATTTGTATACTGAAAGGGTCATCTCAAGGTCCACAAAACCTCCGAGGAGGAAATGGGTCCTACAGTGATGTCAGGACGAAGAATATTGTTTTCAGGTCACTTCTTTGATAAGGCAAGTCGAGTGGTTAGAAAGAACGCAAAATTTAAAACTAACAGGAAAAGTAGCGATATTCATCGGCAACTTTGGCCCGTCCCGTACATTAAGAAACGTACGAATTTCGCCTATGTTTGACCCTGACGGGAATTAAACCTGAGTCTGGGGTTAAAATAAATGTAGTTTTCGTCATCAGCACCCTCAAGGACATCAGAAACAATGCAAAAACTCGAATAAAAAGAATGTTCAAAAATACCCCGCTGGGATTTGAACCCGGGTCCGAACTTCTCCGATTCGCTCGAAACTGGCACCATTGGTTTTTTCTCGTCGCCCCGATTCCAAAAATACCCCTACATGCCCTTCTAGCTGCATCCGTTGCCGAGATCCTCCTCGACCCCATGTAGACCATGATGCACCTGCAGCAGCGCCCCCGGGGCTCGGATCGGATTTGCTGCCACCGGGCGGTTCTAAGGGTCACCCAAGGAGGCTGCATACCAAATTTGGTCAAGATCGGACCACGGGAAGTCCTCGGACGGACGAACGGACGAACGGACGGACGGACGCACAGCAGGCATCATACTATATGCCCGTCCCTCCGTCATTTTTAAAAAAAAAAAAATGAACGGGACGGGCCAAAAAGTTAAAGATCGAAATAAAAAGTTGGTCTACTTGGACCATTCGAGCATCTCATCACCTGCTTCGCGGGGCAGGGTGGTGAAATTTTGAGATTTATCTCATTTTGTGGTTGGCGCTTTATTCTAGGCTAATACTTGTATTTCCAATTGTTTTAAGTAAATAAGAATTTGTTTGGATTATATACTAATAAAGCATTTTTAAAAAATCGGACATAAAAGTTAAAAGAATTCAAAAAGTTTTCGCATACTTAGGAAAATTGAAGTACTTTTAGTTGCTTCTCGTAGTAAAGCCGGGATGGGCTCACATGATATACGCACACTTTGCCGAAACGTATTTCTCACGTTATTCTGGCTTTTCGATTAAGCGTGCATAATTATCACCGAAATAGCGCAATAAAATTAAAATAAGCTATTTTATTTTTCGGTAGAGCGTGCGTAACTCTGTTTAAATAAGATCGTAAGTAAGCACGATTGCCCGAAATAGATGCGAGAATGATTGATTTACGCGCGTTATTTCAATTATATGGAATCAATAAGTTTCGTCATCCCGTTCCGAAACGGGCCATGTTTTGTGATTTATGGACGCTTAGCCGATAATTGATAAACTATTTCGATGAAGAGTGCAACACATCCATCACCTAATTGAAAATTCAAAAATTAAAAATTTAATTAATTTAATATTTAAACAAATAAATCACGTTTTTAAAAAGAATGTTTACTTTTTCATAGCACGCTGTGTATTGTGGTCTCGTATGAGAAGTTGACTCTCCACCATATCTAACACTCAAGGGGTTGCCCTACCCTACCCTCCCTCCCTAACTCTACAGAAAGCGAAATTTCTCATCACGCCCCTTGTCCCTGCAAACAAGCCTTGCCGCGGGTACACTCTTTAAGTCGAAAAGTGAAATTGAGTTGTGAATTGTAAAGGTCGCAGCCTCAGGACGCCGAGTATAGTTGGTTCAGTCAAAGTGGGCGGGACTAGAATCAAAACGCCCGGGTGGAAGGATCTTAAGTTAAACTGTAGTTTCAACTACAGTACCAAAACTGCAGTTCCCGAACTAAAGTTAGTTTTAAAAAGAAACTGAAGACTAAATACAATTCCACTTTGCAGTTGAAATTGTAGTTTTCTGTCAGTTCACAATGTAGTTTTAGTGCTGATTTGAAGTTCAGTTGGAGGTTCAGTTTAAGTTTCAGTTACAATTTACTTAATATCCATTTCTGGAAGTAAAGCGACTGCTGAAAATAAATATTCAAAAACTGTCTCTCATCTAGAATGTTTCCGTACTTAGTATGTATTTTAAACATATTCTCTTATCGACATACTAACGTTGATAGTTATGTCTCAAAACTAGTACGTTTCCATACTTCTTATGCAATCTTCTAGTTGTATCAAGTAAAAGTTACATACCACTAGGGGAACTCAGAATTACAGTGGCTGCTTCATTGCTTTTAAAGCAGTTGAGGTTTACGATGAATTTTTTGTCGTCTCCCTTTAAAAAAAGTATCAGGTTAAAACCAAACGTTTAAGGTTTATACCTAATACAGTTGGCTTTACTTTAAATGGTATGGTTGTTCGCTGTTTAAAAATTTATGCAAGTTTCATCTTTTTTAAAGTTAGCCTCCCTAAAGAGACAAAGTAACCCAAAGTCTGCGACAAGTTTACGTAAACTGACTTGTCGCAAAGGTCCAAAATATTTTGCGCTTACATTTTTTATACTGACATTAAACATTAAAATTGGTCATAAAATGCAAGTTTGTCATGAAGAGGACTACAACTTTACATAGGATTACTCTAAAATTGCTTGTAGTTTAAAAGATGTAGAAAAATTCTTAGTTTTGAATTTTTTTTATTTAAATCTAAATCAAAGTAAATCTGTTAAGTCCTTCATATATCCTTTTAAAAATAAACATAATATTACATGCTAGTAGTATTAAATAACACTTTCGTGGAGTGCAGTTGGAGCAAAACATATTGACTACCGCAAAAATGGACACTTAGTGCATCATCCGCTAGGTGGCGCTAGTGTCGCATCATTTACGTCTTCGAGTTAAAAGTGTTCTTGCAGCCGATCAGAGGAATATTTTTGGATCAAACTCTGTGCAGGGCAAATATTTGAGATGCTATGACTCTACCACAAAAGGATTGACCTCGATAGGTGGAATATTAGGGAAATAACATTGAGTACAACTTTCCTCTCGCGTACGGCTACGGGTCGTCGTTTGGTTAGGGTCCGATCGCTGTGCCCCCAAGTGCATCAGTCCTCGTTGCGTAGTACTGTATATTTTATACGAGTGATCATCTCCGAAAGGACGTGACTCCACTCACTAACACCTAAGGTTGAAAACACCTAAGGTGGCAACTTGATTACAGTGCTGAGGCTCGATTTTGAATTTTCACTCTCTTTTCGGAAACTGAACCCTCACTACTTTCTTTCTAGTTATTTCAAATGGCTTTTAAGTTCACTGTTAAAAAAAATTTCTGAATTTTCAGACTAATTTGAGTGAAGTACTTTTACATAAACTCGTTATTAATTTTCAGACTCGTCTTGGTCTGAAAATGAAGTCTTAAAATTCAGACATGGCCAAGTCTTAAAATTCCCACTGCTTTGTAGCTGAAAATTCATACTTTTTGTCCAAAATTTTAGAACATACTGTGTGAATTCATCATGCAGCAATCGTGCGGAAAGGGCAAAAGGCAGCCTATTGTGGTGGTCTAGACGCTTGTTAGGGCGGACGTACTGGACGGATAACGATTTTTCTCCTGTGAGAGAAAGAGCAAACTTGAAGGCGCGCCGGAATTCCGCGCACGATGGACACCATCGCTACTCCAAAAATGTCAGACGAGATGGTCCGCAGTAAGACTGAGGCACTCGTCGTTCGAGGGTGAGAACTCATATAGAATCTCTCATGTGTGCCACAACATCACGGAGGATCATGCGGGCACCCAACCTAATGACCGAACGCAGACGCCAGCGAGAGCCAACATTGAAATGCGGTTTTATGGACTTCAGAGTAACATTTTGTTTCAAACTTATTGCTAAAGGCTAGAGCTGATAATTACTAAAGCAACAGATGATGCTGTTTGCAAAAATTATTTACTTTAATGGCATTAATCGGAAATACAAAGTGGCGATCTGCCGCGGCGCTCCAGGCGCCACCTAGCGGCAGGTCCCTGAAACGTAACTCCAGGCGGCTGCAAGCAAGTGGACCAAACCATGTGAGAAGTGATTGGTCCACAGTTTGCATTCAACAAGCTCCCTCAACATAACAACTGCCAATATCATAATGATTTGATGCGCGACGTTTGATTTTGTATATCTGGTTTTGTATTAGTCAGCCTAATCTTAATTTTATGACTTCCCTCATTATGAAATTTCAGACTGAGTACAAATATTCAGACCAAGCACGGTCTCAGACTGCCCTGTCTGACATCTCAAACAAAAGTCATGAAATTTCATAAAAAGGTCTTAATTGGAGTTTCATAACGTCAAGTCTGAAAAAAGTTGTCTGAATTTTCAGAATTTTTTTAACAGTGTTGTTCGAAACTAAGGTTGAACTGCAGTTTGACTGCAGTTTAACTAGCACGAGAATGAGGGAGAAACTATAGTTGTTCCAAATAACTGGTAGTTTTTGCATAGTTAAACTGCAGTTTTACTGCAGTTGACTACAGTTTAACTACAATTTTGTTTCTCTTAGAAGTTACTTTTAACTTCTTCATTTTTTAAATTTTTTTCACTTAAAACAATACATTTTACAACAGAAAAACTCCTGTTTTGTCTTATAGTTTTAACTGCAGATCCTTCCACCCGGGCGACATCGCTTCGAAGTAAGCCTCGTGTGAGGCGAGCACAGCGGAGCAAGCAAACGGCGGTTTACCTTAGTAGGGGCGCAGACGGATCGGGTATGCTCCGAGGGGAGGGCAGTGCCCATGCGTTTCACCCATACCTGCCACTTGTACATTGCTCCCCAAAGATACACAGGAGAGGAGATGGGCTACTGAACAATGTCGAGACTGCAATAATAAAGTCATGTGGGCGCACCGCACGCACGCACGCATGCTGCTGCACCAGGACACAACACCTCACCGCCAACAGGTGCTGGGGGACGGCCAAGCCGTCTTGCCGAAGTGTGCGTTGGCGCCCTTCTCTAGCACGGCCGGCACGGCCACGTCAGTGCGCCGCCGGCCGCGCAAGCAAAGGGTGACTTGGGCAGCAGGGCCGCACCACGCCGGCAGCGGCCTCGGCCATCTGGGATCGTCCGCGATTACCGCCACCTGTCTGCGGCCTCGCCCACGGCAGCGCAGTCCGGGTACCACTACTACCGCCGTGCGTCCGGGGAGCGTGTCAATGGTGCCGACGACGCCATCGCCTCTGAAGTGC